ATGTGTATGTGTGTGTAGGAGTGTTTACGGTTCGGATTGGTCCGGTTTTAGCCCAAACCATGATCAAACCGTACCTAACGGTTAATTTTTTTCTTGTCCATAACCGGACTGGTTTTATTTTTTAACCGGCCATAATCCGAACCACATTGGACGGTCCGATATGGCGGTTAACCAGTTAAATCCAAAATCTTTGTTTCGGGTCTTCAATTTGTATTTGTTTTTCCATTTTGGACATAATTTTTATTTTTCAATTTTGGGCCCAAAAGAGATTATTTTGGTCTAAAAATAAATAAAAAAAAACAACAATAATGAAATAAAAAATACACAATTCGTCCCATAAGCATAAAAATACACATTTCGTTCCATAAACATAAAAAATACAAAGGTGGGAAAATCTGAAAACGAAAAAACGAAGGTGGAAAAAAGTGAAAAGTTCTAATGTCTTACAAAATTAAGTCAACAAAAGGCCAAAAGTGAAAGTGAATGTATTATATTTGTCGGTCATAATTAATGACTGAATGTATATATATTTGTTATAGTTTTTTAATATTTACCGGTCTGGTCTGTAAGAATATGTGGCCCGAAAGCATTGGGCTCACAATTAATTATCCTATTGGGCTGGCCTTTATTTAATAGTCAAACAAATCTAAGCCATTAATCTGGATATTTGATGGACGTACCAGATCTAAAGACACCCCTATATAAATTAGTCCTCTCTCCTCCTATTAGGGTACGCAGTTTTATCCCATCACTTTTCTGCTACGTTAAGGAACGGTCAGGAGGGAGAAACTGATTTTAGATCTCACAATCGATCAAGCCTCGTGTGATCATCAAGATCAAGATCACTAATTATGTCGTCTTCCGCATCAAGTAAGTATTTCGTATACACCAAATTATTTATTCAAGATCTTTAATGAAGTTTACATGTGGTATCAGAGCATGTGTTGTGGATAAATAATTTGTATGTATAAATCTCATGAATTTGTCAATTTAATCGCATGAATTTTGATGGGATTAGCTATTTTTAGTTTGTATGTCGGCCTATCAATTTTATTAATGGTGTATGAATTGCTGCTTGGGTTTGTTTGATTTTGCCGAACCAATTAATTGATAAAGTGTTGGATCAATAAAACGATGATATCGTAATTATATTCAGTCTGATGGCTTTATGTTTCTGGATATGCATATGATGATGATCTGTACATGTCATCAATTGCAAAATCAATATGATGGTGGAATAATCATTATGTATTATCTATTCCATTAGGCAATTTTTCATGAATTTTGGTGTAGCCATATCAGTACAAAATTATTTGCTGGGAACAAATAATCTGTGGTGAATAATTGAAAGTTATGTATTTTGGATGATGATGATTGAGTTGACAAACTCCCATTATGTTTATAAGGGTTAGTTTGTTAATATTATGATTATAATTATAATTATTTGTTATTATATGACATTAAAGATAAAATTAATTTGTTAGTCACCAAAGTGGCCTAATTAATTTTTAATGTCCGGTCATATAATATTATTGTTACAATTAATTGTTATATGACATTAAGATAAAATCAATTTGTTAGTCACCAAAGTGGCCAGATTGATTTTCTGATGTTTGGTCATATAACTTATGTTCTCTCGAGAATGTCATTATTTAAGACAATGAGTTTATTGGTTGTTAGAAATTATGGATTTACCCAAAGGTGAATCAATGTTCTATAACTAATAAACATTAAGGAGAAATATAATATTCTTTGTCGAGCGTATGTAGATATCCAAAGATACTATGTATGTTAGGCGAAGTTTATTTAATTTCTCATTAAATGTTAAATGACATTCAACTTATGATAATGATATATATTGTTGTGTTTACCCAAAGGAGACCTACATGAGAACATTGTGATCACATGTTACTTTCAATCTAATACTGCACTTATCGTATTTATTTTTTAGTTTTGAATCAACACCACTCCTACTATGTGTATGTGTATGTATTAGAGTTTGTTGTTTTATCTTGTTAAAAGTGTCGAAAAATTTTTGTAAAAGTGTTCTTTACTTTACTGTTAATAGCTTGTAGTAAGTTGTTAATTGTCGTACAACAACTTTAGTTAAAAGTTGTTAATAGGTTAGAGTATAAACAGTTGCATCTTGTAACCAAACCCTAATTCATTCATTCATTTTTTTTGTTCTTTTCTTTTCTCTCAAACGCTGCGCCTCTCTCTTCTTCTCTACTTTTCCAGATTTCCTTTGTTGCTTCATTCAATCTCAACAGTATGTGTGCATAAGTGTGTTAGTTTTGAATCAACACACACTCGTATGTGTATGTGTGTGTAGGAGTTGTTTACGGTTCGGATTGGTCCGGTTTTAGCCCAAACCATGATCAAACCGTACCTAACGGTTAATTTTTTTCTTGTCCATAACCGGACTGGTTTTATTTTTTGACCGGCCATAATCCGAACCACATTGGACGGTCCGATATGGCGGTTAACCGGTTAAATCCAAAATCCTTGTTTCGGGTCTTCAATTTGTATTTGTTTTTCCATTTTGGACATAATTTTTATTTTTCAATTTTAGGCCCAAAAGAGATTATTTTGGTCTAAAAATAAATAAAAAAAAACAACAATAATGAAATAAAAAATACACAATTCGTCCCATAAGCATAAAAATACACATTTCGTTCCATAAACATAAAAAATACAAAGGTGGGAAAATCTGAAAACGAAAAAACGAAGGTGGAAAAAAGTGAAAAGTTCTAATGTCTTACAAAACTAAGTCAACAAAAGGCCAAAAGTGAAAGTGAATATATTATATTTGTCGGTCATAATTAATGACTGAATGTATATATATTTGTTATAGTTTTTTAATATTTACCGGTCTGGTCCGGTTAAACCGACGGTTTGCCGCAAGTAGTCCGTTAACCGGACCGGTTATTCTGGATTTGTAAAAAAAATTAACTACCGTATTTTTTAAGGCTTTTTTAAATGACCATTTAACAGATCTGCGGTCCGGATTGACGGTTTTTTCGGTTAAAACCGAACTGTGGACACCCCAGTGCGTGTAAGTGTTGATCGAATGGTAAAAAATACTAGTGTAGTCACCAGAATGAATTTTGATCGAGTGATCTATGGTGAAATGTCCACTTTTGCCAATTATAATGCGAACATTCGATCCACGGTTTATATTGACTTTATTAGAGGTGTTAGTTCAGTTGAGTAGAGCCGAGCATATCGGACTCGAGGTTGTTTAACAAAGAATCGGCTCAGTTCAACTCATTTTAGACACAACCATAAGCCAATGTTTGCTTTCTAGGATAGAATTGAATTAAAATAGTGCAATTGTAAAGGATTGTACTGTTTTGATAAATATAATCACATGTTTGTTATATGTGATAAGTATTAGAATAACTTTATCTTTAAAATGAAAGTTTTTTTTTTTTTTTTTTTTTTTTTTTTTTTTTTTTT